GATGATTGTGAAGAGAGGGGAGAGTTATGCTGTGGCCCTACTGGGCGGAGGTGGATGGTAGAGGTTCTGGTACTGAAGCCGATGATTGTACTGGAGTGTGCATAAATTCTGTAATGGATTTCTGTTCTATTTTACCCTGCAGTACATTATACACAACTGATGGTAAGGCATCAGCTGCTCTAGACACCGTTTCAGGGTCCTCTTCAGTGAAAAAGTCTAACTTTAAGTCAGTCAAGTCAGTCAGTCAGTCAGTCAGTCAAGTCAGTCAGTCAGTTGCTTGTCAGATACAAGATATGGTAATTAAAAGATCAAAACAATTCACAAACACATCTAGCTTGTAGGAGAGAAGTGGAACTGAACACATATTCACATTCATGAAAGCTGGGATGGTGGTGTTGGGGGGGGATGGTTGGGGATGGCAGGAGGTCTCCTCCTCCAGGAGGACCTGCAGTGTTCTTCCATTGTTATGTTCTTACTGGCTATTTGTTTGTGTGAGGGAGGGATGGCTAGTTTATTGTTGGAGAATATGACACTAATATCAACTCTATGGCTTATTTATCTATCACAATTCAACTAATATGACATAATAAACAATATTAATAACATAGAAACATGGAATATACTCTAGAATGAATAAAGTAAGTCATTACGTATGTCACGAGAGGTGTTGTATTGTGTTGTTGTTGGGTATATAAGGGCCACTGAGTGTAAGCCATCCATAATGGTAGTGAAGCAGCAGCTGAGTGGCGGTGGTTTTTGTAGCCCTATATAACTCCAACAACATTGGAGGAATTGTTAGGTAAGACACATATGCAACAGTTAGGTATCTTTATTATGAAACGTTTCGCCTACACAGTAGGCTTCTTCAGTCAAGTACAGAAAGTTGATAGAAGCAGAAGATACTTGAAGACGATGTAATCAGTCCATCACCCTTAAAGTTTTGAGGTGGTCAGTCCCTCAGTCTGGAGAAGAGCATTGTTCCATAGTATGAAACAATATGGAGGAATTGGTAGAAAAGCCCACTGTGTGGGCGAAACGTAGTCAATAAAGGATCACATTATACTGCATTTGTGTTTATATTGCCAGGAATTGGTAGAATCACTAAAGAAGGAACCCACTACCACCATCACTATGACCTTCTACCACTATTACAACTGTTACCACCATCACTGCTACCTTCTACCACCATCACTACTACCTTCTACCACCATCACTACCACCAAAGAAAGCTTCTAGTGCCAGCCCTTTGGTAAAGAATGTGAGAAACACATAATTTATGAAAAAGTTTGTAGAAAAATACAAAGATGGTGGTGGTAGAGTGGAAGCAGTTGAGAGTGGTTGATGAACATAAGAAAGGAGGATCACTGCAGCAGGCCTGTTGGCCCATGCTCGGCAGGTCCTTTACAATTCATCCCACTAACGAAACATTTTCCCAACCCAGTCCTCAATGCTACCCAAGAAATAAGCTCTGATAACTCTATCCACGCATTTGGGACTTGCAAATGAGCGGATAGAGTTATCAGAGCTTATTTCTTGGGTAGCATTGAGGACTGGGTTGGGAAAATGTTTCGTTAGTGGGATGAATTGTAAAGGACCTGCCGAGCATGGGCCAACAGGCCTGCTGCAGTGATTCTCCTTTCTTATGTTCTTATGTTCATCAACCACTATCACAACTGCTTCCACTCTACCACCACCATCTTTGTATTTTTCTACAAACTTTTTCATAAATTATGTGTTTCTCACATTCTTTACCAAAGGGCTGGCACTAGAAGCTTTATTTGGAGCCATGGTAGCTTGTAAGCACTTGTAAGCACTAAAATCAATGGAATATCATGAAATATTTCGTAGGAGCATGTGAGGGGACCGTCACTCACTGGTAAACAATGGCACACTGGCTGGGAAGGAAAGGCCGAGGCGGCTCAGAGCGTGAGTACGCGTCCGGGACGAAGGACTATTAGGACTATTAGCGAGTTACCGGACCATTTGCGAGCCAATATTTTGACGAAAAAACAGGACTATTTCCGAAATGGATGACTTTCAGGCCGGACGATTATTGAGGGACCACTGTACATTGTTCGAGTTTTGAGCTGTTCGTAACCCAAGGTACCACTGTATTTTGTCCTGCCTCCTGAGAGCAGGAATTCTGCTGGAACGGATTAATGGCATTTCAGTTAAATGAGGACAATTGACTCGGCATACGAGCAGACTGGGATACGAGCAAGGTCACAGAACGGATTAAACTCATAAGGCGAGGTTCCACTGTACTCGAAAAGTTTTTTTTTCTATGAACTCTTGTTTTAGTGTAAGTGTACAAAGATAATCTATGCTTTCAAATAAGTAAGGAAATATGAAAACAAACCCTGTTTCTTCGAAGCTGTATGTAGTATACATTCTGTACCTAATTTGTGTTCTTTCACCAAGGATCATTTTGTCTCCCGAAACATCTATGCTTTGTACTGTATTAATTTTCTACTTTCATTTTTCTTATTTCCAACTTTATTTATTCAATTTAACTACTGAAAAAACTGTTAGAATTGACATTATTTTTAAGATATGAAATATTTTGCTATTTTATATTTTAAAATATTTTTTAAATGATTTTCCCTATACATTATTAATACAGTGCTACTATTATATTCATAGAAGTGTTGAACTTGTAGTAGGTCATAAAGCACTTGCTATACATGCTGTCAAAACTTTTTAATGTGAATATTTAACATGTAAGCAAATTAAAATTTTATTGTGCATGTACTCATTTACCGACCACTCGGACTTACAACCAGCTCTCCAACTAGTATGCAAACCTAAATAATGTATATTAGAGCTGATTTCCTCTATTCTGTGTATTACAGGATACAGTAAACTACTGTATACGCATTGAAATCTATACCAGAAATGTTATAAATGGTGCAAAGGCGATATTAAAAAAATATCTAAAGATGGTTGATACAAACCCGCTCCCAGTATAGTATGCTTCTTGCATACAAAACAAGGCAGGAGATTTAAATACCTTACCACCCTTTATATACAAAAAAGTGTCACAAGTGCTATCACCAATCATTGCAACACTCTTTAACAAATCCATTGAATCCTCCACCTTCCCTACAGTACTCAAAATAGCAAGGGTCACCCCGATCCACAAAGGAGGAGACCAAACAGAGTTGAATAACTATAGGCCAATATCCAACTTACACCCTCTCTCAAAAATCTTCGAAAAATTAATTCATAAACGAATCTACTCCTACCTTATCTCCCAAAACATACTCAACCCCTGCCAATTTGGATTCAGGCCTAATAAAAATACTAATGATGCTATTATACACATGCTAGAACATATATACACTGCAATAGAGAAAAAAGAAGTCCCACTGGGGATCTTCATTGACTTACGTAAAGCTTTTGATACAGTTGACCATGACTTGCTCCACGTAAAATTGTCACACTATGGTATAAGAGGGCACTCCCTCAACTACCTCAAGTCATACCTCAGCAACAGAAGCCAATATGTGTATGCAAATGGGGCAAACTCTTCTGCACAACCAATTACAGTTGGTGTCCCACAGGGAAGTGTCCTTGGCCCTCTTCTCTTTCTCCTATACATAAATGACCTACCAAATGCTTCGCAATTACTCAAACCCACACTATTTGCTGATGACACAACATACGTCTTCTCCCACCCGAGCCCAGTCACGCTAGCCAATACTGTAAATACCGAATTACAGAAAATATCTACCTGGATGAGTAACAAACTTACACTAAACATTGACAAAACCTACTTCATTCAGTTTGGTAACAGAGCTACAGATGTCCCTCTTAACATAATGATAAACGGATCACCTATCACAAAGCTAACAGAGGGAAAATTCTTAGGAATCCACCTTGATAATAGACTCAAATTTCATACACATATACAACAAATTTCTAAGAAAATTTCCAAGACTGTAGGCATACTATCGAAGATACGGTACTATGCTCCACAGTCAGCCCTCCTGGCCCTATATCACTCTTATTTACCCCTATCTCACCTATGGAATTTGTGCATGGGGCTCAACAACAAGTAACCATCTCAGACCACTAATTACCCAACAAAAGGCTGCAGTTAGAATGATAACAAATTCTCACTACAGGCAGCACACTCCACCAATATTCAATACACTCAACCTACTCACCATACAAAACATCCATACTTATTACTGCACCTATTACATACATAGAACACTCAACTCTGATATTAACCCTCCCCTCAAACATCTCCTTGCCAACCTCAACAGAACACATGACCATAACACAAGGCACAGATCACTCTTTGATATTCCTCGTGTCCATCTCACGCTATGCAAAAACTCAATGCACATAAAAGGCCCTAAAATCTGGAATTCATTACCTGTAAATATAAAAGAAACACTACCTGTTTATAAATTCAAGTCTCTTCTCAAAGATCACTTACTCACCCAAAACCAAATAAATACTGAATAACTGAACCTTATAAATTGTATATCTTAAATGTTTCTCACAATTATATCACATAAATGTTAAACCTAAAACCCAATCTAACTTTATTATTTTTTAAATACACTACCTAACAGAATACTCCATTCTACTGAATTTACAACAATGCATGCAACCATATGACCTGTCTTTGTAATACTCACTTGTGATTTATAGTAATCTGTTTACATTAATGTTTTTCACTGATTTCATCATTGCTTAGTTAATCTTAAGTTAATTTTAAGCCAGCCCGTAATGCTATGCATAGTATAAGTGGCTTTGGCATGCTGCTCTTATCTGTATTTTTTTTGTACCTCTGTATGTGTGCTCAAATTATAAATAAATAAATAAATAAATTTGCTTACCAGCCTATTCTCAGGAACGGAACCCCATCATTAAGTGAGGAGAGGCTGTATTAACTTCCTTGTCGAAGGTAATTAATAATAAAAGTTTTTTTTATACTGAATATATTTATAGTCTATATTAATGATGGTAATCTAACAAATTTCCAGGAATGTTTGATAAAAAAGGGTCAGGCACAATCACATTTGAAGAGTTTGGAGCATTATGGAAGTATGTGACAGATTGGCAACAGTGTTTCAGGGCCTTTGATAGAGACAGTTCTGGTAATATAAGTAAAGAAGAGCTCAAGACAGCTATTACTACATTTGGATACAGGTGAGGCTGGACGTACAATTGGCATTTTATGCTGAAATATATGTTTTATATAAAGGGAAGAGGGACAAAAGAGAGTGTAAAAATTATAGGCGTATGATAAAGTGGATAGGGGAGCAATGTGGCAGATGTTGCAAGTACTATATGGAATAGGTGGTAAGTTACTAAATGCTGTAAAGAGTTTTTATAAGGATAGTAGGTAGTAGGTTGGTAGACAGCAACCACCCAGGGAAGTACTACCGTCCTGCCAGATGACTGTGAAACAAAAACCTGTAACTGTTTTGCATGATGGTAGGATTGCTGGTTTTTCTTTTTCTGTCTCATAAACACGCTAAGATAACAGGGATATCTTGCTACTCCTACTTACACTTTGGTCACACTTCACAGACACGCACATGCATATATATATATACATACATCTAGGTTTTTCTCCTTTTTCTAAATAGCTCTTGTTCTTTTTTATTTCTTCTATTGTCCATGGGGAAGTGGAAAAGAATCTTTCCTCCGTAAGCCATGCGTGTCGTATGAGGCGACTAAAATGCCGGGAGCAATGGGCTGGTAACCCCTTCTCCTGTATACAATTACTAAAAAAGAGAAGAAGAAAAACTTTATAAAACTGGGTTGCTTAAATGTGCGTGGATGTAGTGCGGATGACAAGAAACAGATGATTGCTGATGTTATGAATGAAAAGAAGTTGGATGTCCTGGCCCTAAGCGAAACAAAGCTGAAGGGGGTAGGAGAGTTTCAGTGGGGGAAATAAATGGGATTAAATCTGGAGTATCTGAGAGAGTTAGAGCAAAGGAAGGGGTAGCAGTAATGTTAAATGATCAGTTATGGAAGGAGAAAAGAGAATATGAATGTGTAAAATTCAAGAATTATGTGGATTAAAGTAAAGGTTGGATGCGAGAAGTGGGTCATAATAAGCGTGTATGCACCTGGAGAAGAGAGGAATGCAGAGGAGAGAGAGAGATTTTGGGAGATGTTAAGTGAATGTATAGGAGCCTTTGAACCAAGTGAGAGAGTAATTGTGGTAGGGGACTTGAATGCTAAAGTAGGAGAAACTTTTAGAGAGGGTGTGGTAGGTAAGTTTGGGGTGCCAGGTGTAAATGATAATGGGAGCCCTTTGATTGAACTTTGTATAGAAAGGGGTTTAGTTATAGGTAATACATATTTTAAGAAAAAGAGGATAAATAAGTATACACGATATGATGTAGGGCGAAATGACAGTAGTTTGTTGGATTATGTATTGGTAGATAAAAGACTGTTGAGTAGACTTCAGGATGTACATGTTTATAGAGGGGCCACAGATATATCAGATCACTTTCTAGTTGTAGCTACACTGAGAGTAAAAGGTAGATGGATACAAGGAGAATAGAAGCATCAGGGAAGAGAGAGGTGAAGGTTTATAAACTAAAAGAGGAGGCAGTTAGGGTAAGATATAAACAGCTATTGGAGGATAGATGGGCTAATGAGAGCATAGGCAATGGGGTCGAAGAGGTATGGGGTAGGTTTAAAAATGTAGTGTTAGAGTGTTCAGCAGAAGTTTGTGGTTACAGGAAAGTGGGTGCAGGAGGGAAGAGGAGCGATTGGTGGAATGATGATGTAAAGAGAGTAGTAAGGGAGAAAAAGTTAGCATATGAGAAGTTTTTACAAAGTAGAAGTGATGCAAGGAGGGAAGAGTATATGGAGAAAAAGAGAGAAGTTAAGAGAGTGGTGAAGCAATGTAAAAAGAGAGCAAATGAGAGAGTGGGTGAGATGTTATCAACAAATTTTGTTGAAAATAAGAAAAAGTTTTGGAGTGAGATTAACAAGTTAAGAAAGCCTAGAGAACAAATGGATTTGTCAGTTAAAAATAGGAGAGGAGAGTTATTAAATGGAGAGTTAGAGGTATTGGGAAGATGGAGGGAATATTTTGAGGAATTGCTAAATGTTGATGAAGATAGGGAAGCTGTGATTTCGTGTATAGGGCAAGGAGGAATAACATCTTGTAGGAGTGAGGAAGAGCCAGTTGTGAGTGTGGGGGAAGTTCGTGAGGCAGTAGGTAAAATGAAAGGGGGTAAGGCAGCCGGGATTGATGGGATAAAGATAGAAATGTTAAAAGCAGGTGGGGATATAGTTTTGGAGTGGTTGGTGCAATTATTTAATAAATGTATGGAAGAGGGTAAGGTACCTAGGGATTGGCAGAGAGCATGCATAGTTCCTTTGTATAAAGGCAAAGGGGACAAAAGAGAGTGCAAAAATTATAGGGGGATAAGTCTGTTGAGTGTACCTGGTAAAGTGTATGGTAGGGTTATAATTGAAAGAATTAAGAGTAAGACGGAGAATAGGATAGCAGATGAACAAGGAGGCTTTAGGAAAGGTAGGGGGTGTGTGGACCAGGTGTTTACAGTGAAACATATAAGTGAACAGTATTTAGATAAGGCTAAAGAGGTCTTTGTGGCATTTATGGATTTGGAAAAGGCGTATGACAGGGTGGATAGGGGGGCAATGTGGCAGATGTTGCAAGTGTATGGTGTAGGAGGTAGGTTACTGAAAGCAGTGAAGAGTTTTTACGAGGATAGTGAGGCTCAAGTTAGAGTATGTAGGAAAGAGGGAAATTTTTTCCCAGTAAAAGTAGGCCTTAGACAAGGATGTGTGATGTCACCGTGGTTGTTTAATATATTTATAGATGGGGTTGTAAGAGAAGTAAATGCGAGGGTCTTGGCAAGAGGCGTGGAGTTAAAAGATAAAGAATCACACACAAAGTGGGAGTTGTCACAGCTGCTCTTTGCTGATGACACTGTGCTCTTGGGAGATTCTGAAGAGAAGTTGCAGAGATTGGTGGATGAATTTGGTAGGGTGTGCAAAAGAAGAAAATTAAAGGTGAATACAGGAAAGAGTAAGGTTATGAGGATAACAAAAAGATTAGGTGATGAAAGATTGAATATCAGATTGGAGGGAGAGAGTATGGAGGAGGTGAACGTATTCAGATATTTGGGAGTGGACGTGTCAGCGGATGGGTCTATGAAAGATGAGGTGAATCATAGAATTGATGAGGGAAAAAGAGTGAGTGGTGCACTTAGGAGTCTGTGGAGACAAAGAACTTTGTCCTTGGAGGCAAAGAGGGGAATGTATGAGAGTATAGTTTTACCAACGCTCTTATATGGGTGTGAAGCGTGGGTGATGAATGTTGCAGCGAGGAGAAGGCTGGAGGCAGTGGAGATGTCGTGTCTGAGGGCAATGTGTGGTGTGAATATAATGCAGAGAATTCGTAGTTTGGAAGTTAGGAGGAGGTGCGGGATTACCAAAACTGTTGTCCAGAGGGCTGAGGAAGGGTTGTTGAGGTGGTTCGGACATGTAGAGAGAATGGAGCGAAACAGAATGACTTCAAGAGTGTATCAGTCTGTAGTGGAAGGAAGGCGGGGTAGGGGTCGGCCTAGGAAGGGTTGGAGGGAGGGGGTAAAGGAGGTTTTGTGTGCGAGGGGCTTGGACTTCCAGCAGGCATGCGTGAGCGTGTTTGATAGGAGTGAATGGAGACAAATGGTTTTTAATACTTGACGTGCTGTTGGAGTGTGAGCAAAGTAACATTTATGAAGGGATTCAGGGAAACCGGCAGGCCGGACTTGAGTCCTGGAGATGGGAAGTACAGTGCCTGCACTCTGAAGGAGGGGTGTTAATGTTGCAGTTTAAAAACTGTAGTGTAAAGCACCCTTCTGGCAAGACAGTGATGGAGTGAATGATGGTGAAAGTTTTTCTTTTTCGGGCCACCCTGCCTTGGTGGGAATCGGCCAGTGTGATAATAAAAATAAAAAAAAGTGAGGCTCAGGTTAGGGTGTGTAGAAGAGAGGGAGACTACTTCCCGGTAAAAGTAGGTCTTAAACAGGGATGTGTAATGTCACCATGGTTGTTTAACATATTTATAGATGGGGTTGTAAAAGAAGTAAATGCTAGGGTGTTGGGGAGAGGGTTGGGATTAAATTATGGGGGAATCAAATACAAAATGGGAATTGACACAGTTACTTTTTGCTGATGATACTATGCTTATGGAAGATTCTAAAGAAAAATTACAAAGGTTAGTGGACGAGTTTGGGAGTGTGTGTAAAGGTAGAAAGTTGAAAGTGGACATAGAAAAGAGTAAGGTGATGAGGGTATCAAATGATTTAGATAATGAAAAATTGGAAATCAAATTGGGGAGGAGGAGTATGGAAGAAGTGAATGTGAGGAGGAGTATGGAAGAAGTGAATGTTTTCAGATATTTTGGAGTTGACGTGTCCGTGGATGGATTTATAAAGGATGAGGTTAATCATAGAATTGATGAAGGAAAAAAGGCGAGTGGTGCACTGAGGTATATGTGGAGACAAAAAACGTTATCTATGGAGGCAAAGAAGGGAATGTATGAAAATATAGTACCAACACTCTTATATGGGTGTGAAGTTTGGGTTGTATAGGCTGCAGCGAGGAGGCGGTGGAGATGTCCTGTCTAAGGGCAATGTGTGGTGTAAATATTATGCAGAGAATTCGTAGTGTGGAAATTAGGAGAAGGTGTGGAGTTAATAAAAGTATTAGTCAGAGGGCTGAAGAGGGGTTGTTGAAGTAGTTTGGTCATTTAGAGAGAATGGATCAAAGTAGAATGACAAGAAGAGTGTATAAATCTGTTGGGGAAGGAAGGCGGGGTAGGGGTTGTCCCCGAAAAGGTTGGAGGGAGGGGGTAAAGGAGGTTTTGTGGGCGAGGGGTTTTGACTTCTAGCAAGCGTGGATGAGCGTGTTAGATAGGAGTGAATGGAGACAAATGGTTTATAGGACCTGATGAGCTATTGGAGTGTGTGCAGGGTAATATTTTGTGAAGGGTTTCAGGGGAAACCAGTTAGCTGGACTTAGAGTCCTGGAAATGGGAAGCACAATGCCTGCACTTTAAAGGAGGGATTTAGGATATTTGCAGTTTGGAGGGATGTCTAAACTGTCGTATCTGAGTGCCGCTGCAAAGACTGATTATGTACGAGTGATGGTGAAAGTGTTGAATGATGATGAAAAAATTTTCTTTCTTTTTGGGTCACCCTGCCTCTCTGGGAAATGGCCGACATGTTAAAAAAATATATACATATATACAATCAACTATATTTACTGAAAGTAAATTTCTAAGTGCTATTTGGTGGAACTTTTGTAAAATATTAGTGTTACAGGACAGTAGTTATTGTTACTGTAAACCAGTTAATCCTCATTTAGCAGTTCCCTTCAAGGTAGGTCCCTTGATGCTATTGAATTGATTTCAAGCCAAGAAATTGGAGCTTCCCTGCTTTGGATTAAACCCAGTTACTTCTCATTTCCCAAGTAGTTACTGTATAGTTATTATGTACTATTATCTGTCTAGTTTTAAGTAGTTACTATGTATTAGGATTAGTCTACCTGAAATGCCCCAGCTTGATAGTGGCTTTCTTTGTACTTAGCAAACCAAAATTATAATTACACATTGTAACCTTTACAAAGACATAAACCTTTATATCTTACTGTGTGAATCCTTAGGGCCTTAGCACTTTCCTATGAATGTAATGATTTAATAATAATAATATAGATGAGTTACAGTGAGTACAAGAGAAATGAGTATTATTAGGTAATGCTATATGGCTTTAAAAAGTCTAGTAGAGAATAATTACAATATTGAATTAGTTTATAAAAATTACAATATTACAATAGAACAATTTGAAACAATTTACAATATGATGTATTACAATTTAGTACCATTTAACCCTTAAACTGTCCAAACTTATTATTTTAAGTAAAAGTGGCATTACACAGCAGTGTATGATGCTGCCATGGTTGTTTAATACATTTATAGCTTTATTAAAGAAGTGAATGCTAAATTGTTGGGAAGATGTGAGGGCATGAAGGATAATCAGTCTGATATAAATTGGGAGTTACCAGAGATGCTCTTTGCTGATAACTAAGTGCTTTACAGCTTTTTTTTGAAAAGGAGTTGTAAAGGATGGGTGGAGGAGTTTGTTTCAAAAGTGAAACAGAAATGAGTAAAACCATGAGATTAAGAAATTAGATTGGAGGAAGTGAATATAGTGAGATATTTGGGAGTAGATGTGTCAGCAGGTGGGTTTATGAAAGATGAGGTTAATGATAAAAGAAGGATGAGAAAGAAAGTAGCTGGAGTGTGAGGAGTACAGAAAGGCTAATTTATCAGTAGATGCAAATGGAAAAATGTATCAAAGTATAGTGATACCAATACGTACTTGTATGAGTGTGAGGCATGATCTTTTGAATGCTGGAGGCATTGGTTATGTGAATATATGCAGAGAATAAAGAATAGCAGAAGAGGGGTTGTATTGCTTGGTCATTTAATAAAAATTAAAGAACATAGCTTGACAAAGAGAATACAGTACAGTACGGTTTTTGTATGCCCTAGTTTGTATGTAAAACTAAAGTTATTCTCTATAAAATGTATTTTTTGTTAATATTTTTGTGTGTCTGGAATGGATTAATTGGATTTACATTATTTCTCATGGGAAATATTAACAAAAAATATATTTTATAGAGAATAACTATAGTTTTACATTCAAACTAAGGCATATGAAAACCACTGTTCCACTATATATAAATCTGGGGTAGACGGAAGCTGGTATAGGGGACTCCAAGGAAGGGTTGTTAGGATGTTTTGAGAATTAGGAACTTGACCAAGCATGTGGGAAAAAGGTGTTTTTGAGATTTGATATGCTGTTGTGTAAGGTAATACAATATATTATGAATCTATAAAAGGATTCAAGGGAAACCAATTAGCTAAGGTCATGTTGCCTTAGTGGGAAATGTCTATGTTAGCCCTTTCAGGGTCCAGACCCCTGATCTGAAAATTGCTCTCAGTCCAACAATTAAAAAAAAAAAATCTTATGATACGATAGAGAATCTTTCCAAAGGTAATGAAACCAAAAGTATGAACTATGATGAAGAGCTTAGGAAATTATGCTCTCACAAAGCTAACAGTCTTGGCGATATTTATACATTAACAATTTTGCCCACTTTGAGTCCTATTTTACACCAATTCCATTGTTCCAGTCAACCAGACTCATAGCTATTTTGCTAGTATTTCTTCCATTCTGTTGATTGATTACAAGAAACTACCCATTTACCTATTTCAGCCACCCAATAAAGTGATCAAAAATTGGTGATTTAGCCAGTTTCACACAAAATTTAAAAATTGCCAATATAAAAATAAGGTCCAGAATAAACACTGTAGACATTCCTTGCACTAAAACAACATTTCCTTTCTTAATTAGATATGTCCCCAGGCCTCTCCTATATTACACTTGCTTTCAATTTTTAATTTTTATTCACACAAAAAACAGAAGATTTACCGGTATGCAGACTACTGCACTATTGTAATATAATTGTACAAATAGTTGGAGTGCTGTTGGAGTGTGAGCAAAGTAACATTTATGAAGGGGTTCAGGGAAACCGGCAGGCCGGACTTGAGTCCTGGAGATGTGAAGTACAGTGCCTGCACTCTGAAGGAGGGGTGTTAATGTTGCAGTTTAAAAACTGTAGTGTAAAGCACCCTTCTGGCAAGACAGTGATGGAGTGAATGATGGTGAAAGTTTTTCTTTTTCGGTCCACCCTGCCTTGGTGGGAATCGGCCAGTGTGATAATAAAAAAAAATAGTGCCAGCGCATTTGTGAACGCATACTAGACTGATCAGTTGGACGTGTATTGGACGAGTAACATAATTTGTCCTCTGGAATATTGGCAAAAATCAAACATTTCTGCTACTTTGAGCTCAATTTCAAGCTGCTTTCAGTCCTGAAACCATTCAGAATCATCTCTATTTCTGTAATATATCATCCATTCTGTCAATTGATACCAAGAAACCAAGAATACAATAATAAAAACCATTTGAAAACACACTGCAAAGTCACTATTTTAAGCCAAATTCATGGTCATTTTTTTCCCCATCATGCACTGTGTAGGGCAGGGTTTTTTTTTTTTTATGTGGTGCTCACTCGCTGCATAGACCCATTCTCTCATATCTAGGCCCAGATTTACTGTTACTGATATCTGATTGAGCTGAGCTCATTGCATAGTTCTGTGGCACAGACCCTGAACTCAAACCCATAGTACTACTGTACAGACCTTGAAGTGGTTAAACTAGCCAATATGTTTAGTATGTTTTTTTTAATGCTGGGTGTCTCCCACCAAGGTAAAGTGACTCAAAAAAGAAACATTTTCACCATCATTCACACTATCACTGTCTTGCCAGAGGCTTGCTGATACAACAGTTTAGATGTCACTTTAAACAGCAGATATCCCAAACCCCTCCTTTAGAGTGCAGGCACTTTGCTTCCCACTTCCAGGACTTGAGTCTGGCTAACTGGTTTCTTTGAATCCCTTTATAAAATATTACTCTACTCATACTCCAACAGCTCGTCAAGTCCCAAAAACAGATCGTCTCCACTCACTCTTATCTAACACACTCACGCATGCCTGCTGTATGTCTAAACCTCCTTTACCCCCCTCCCTCCATCCTTTCCTAGGTAGCTAAATTACAGCTTATTGTGAATGTTGTCAAAAAAAAAAATGAACTGTTAAGTGGAATATGGTTTATAATTTTTAATACTGTATTATATGTTGCAGGTTTTCAGATCAGTTTTATGATGTGCTGATGAGGCGTTTTGACAGATCTGGAAAGGGTGTAATCCATTTTGATGACTTTATACAGTGCTGTATAGTACTTCATGTGAGTATAAAAGCCTAAGTTTTTTAAAACACTTTTTTTTTAACATCCTGTACAATTACATATGTCCCTCATTTTATGCTGTAGATGCGCTCCAAACCCATGCCATCAATACTTGATTCTACATAAGAAGATCCAGTGGTTCTATCACTCAGTGAAGAAGGCCTTGCTTAGCCATGCTTTGAGGTTGGCCTTCCACCAAATAATGGGCAATATGGTTTTTGTCTTTACCCTTTTAAAGCACTGGGATTCTTGAAGTGATAAGCAAGCATGGGCTTACATTGAAAGTCATCTGATGCATTACAGCAAAGCAAGCTGAAATGGTCTTTCACAGCCTTGAATCCAGGAGCAATTTTCTTGTTTGCTGATGTTTGTTGTAGATGGCATTATCTTCCAGAGCAAACCTGTCTCATCAGCGTTAAATACTTGCTCACATTTGTAGTCACCCTCAGAGATAATGTTTGCTAACTTGACCAGAAACTTTTCTGCAATAGCATGGTCAACAGAGGCATTCTCCCCTCATTATATTGTGCTGTGCACTGAGTATTCTGAACCATTTAAGCCATCCACAACTAATTGTTAACTCACACACTGTTTTATAGTATATTAAGGCATTTTATTTAATAATAAGGCCATCAAGTGGAACACCTTTCTTTGTTTTTCAGTCCACACATTTAGTAAACTTTGTTATATTTAGCTGTAATGACTTGTACCTCATTCTTTTTACTGTGCCACAATGAGGTTTACTTGCTGCACATGCTTTTATCTTCAGCTCCTTTTCTCTAATTGAATGAATTATTAATTCTCCAATGCCAAACTTGCTTACCCTCTCCATGACATGATTACCTACAGTTTTTTCAAAATGGGCATAGTTTCATGCTCGATTTTCTTCCTTGCTTCACCAGCTATACCTTCACTTCGTTTGCATGCCATGATAAATATCCAGAGTTGAAATGGGGTGATGTAAAGAAAGAAAACTGGGTGATGAGCACAGAGCAACAATCATAGGGTATGCATCCAGGTAAACTGACTCATATAGGATGCTGTTTATTTTCATTCCTTCACCCTCCCTGACACCACCACCACATTGCTAAAACAATGGAGTTGTTCAATGTTTAGTGGGGGGAAGGGGAAAAGAGTCTTCTGCCTGCAAGGTGAGGTGCTCCTTAACCCCTTGACTGTCACAACCCCCAATCCTGAGGTGCCTCCTGGTGTAAAAAAAAAAAAAATTATTTTTTCTTATGAAATGATCGACAATCTTTTCCCGATTGTAATGACACCAAAAGAACAAAATTTGATGGAAAACTGACGGAATTACACTCTCGCGAAGTTAGCGACTGGCGATATTTACAAATTGGCGATTTCGCCCACTTTGAGCCCTATTTTCGGCTAATTCCAGTGTTCCAGTTGACCAAACTCATAGCTATTTCTTTAGAACTCCATTTTTTCTATTGACTGAGTACAAGAAACTGCCCATTTACCGATATCAACTACCCAATAACGTGGTCAGAATTTTGCAATTTGGCCAATTTCACGAAAATTAAAAAATATGACAATTTCAAAATAAGGTCCAGAATGAATAATGCAGACATTCCTGGCTCTAAAATAACATTTTCTTTGTTCATCAGTCACATCTCCAGGCCCCTCTGATATTACTCTTGCTTTCTATTTTGAATCTTTATTCAAACAAAAAATAGAAGATTTACTGTTATGCAGACTACTGCAATATTGTAATAATTGTACAAATAATGTCAACCCATTCATGACTGCATATTAGAATGGCTAGTTGGACATTTATTGGAAAATGACATCATTTGTTTACTTTTGAACATCAGCAAAAATCAAACATATCCCCTACTTTGAGCTCCATTTCAAGGTTCTTTTCATAGTAAAACCAATCAAAATCACCTCTATTTCTATAATATGTTTTCCATTCATCAAATGAGACCAAGAAAATGAGAATACAACCATAAATATTATACAAAAATAGACCACACAGTCAGCATTTTAATTAAAAAAAAACGGTCGGAGTTTTTTTTTCTCATTATGCACTGCGTGCTGCAGGAATTTTTTGTTATACGGTGCACGCTGAGCACACAGACCCATTCTCTCACATGTGGGCCTACCAGCCTTGATTTGAAGCCGCTAGAATTTATGAGTATATACACGTCAATTATAATTATAATAATCAAAAAGAAGTGCTAAGCCACAAGGGCTATACAGCGCTGCAGGGTAGGGAAGGAAGCGAGGGTATCGGGCGGCAGAAGGGGGGAGGGATGATTAGTAGGTTACAGAAAACAGCGGGGCAGGGGATATACACGTCAAACACGGTGGCTTGTAAGATGTATATATACGACTGAGACAGTCAAAGGGTTAACAGAAATACACATAGAGCATTTCTATTGGAAATGAAAAAATCAAATACTGAAAACACAATCACTGACAGTGCAGTGTGTGTACTCACCTATTTGTGGTTGCAGGGGTTGAGTCATAGCTCCTGGCCCTGCCTCTTCACTGATTGCTACTATGTAGCAATTAGTGTGTGTTTGTGTGCATGTGCGCGTACATACGTTCTAACCTGTTTGTGATTTCAGGGGTTGAGTAACAGCTCCTGACCCCACCTCTTCGCTGGTCGCTACTAGGTTCACTCTCTCCCTGCTCCTTGAGCTTTATTGTACCTCTTCTTAAAGCTATGTATGGATCTTGCCTCCACTACATCACTCTCTAGATTGTTCCACTTCCTGACAACTCTATATCTGAAGAAATACTTCCTAACATCCCTGTGACTCATCTGAGTTTTCATCTTCCAGGTGTAACCCCTTGTTGTGTCCCATCTCTGAAACATTGTCCCTATCCACCTTGTCAGTTCCTCTCAATATTTTATGTCATTATCATATCCCCCTATTCCTCCTGTCCTCCAGTGTCAGGTTGAGTCCCCTTAACCTCTCCTCATAGGACATGCCCGTCAGCTGTGGACTAATCTTGTTGCAAACCTTCACACTTTCTCTAATTTCTTGATGTGTTTATCCAGGTGTGGGTTCCATACTGGTGCTTCATACTCCAAATATGGGTCTGACATACATGGTGTACAGTGTCATGAATGACTTCTTACTTAGATGTCGAAACACAATTCTCGATTTGCCAGGCGCCCATGTGCTGCAGCAGTTATTTGGTTGATGTGAGCCTTAGGAGATGTGCTCGGTATGATGCTCACCCCAAGATTCTTTTCCTTGAGTGAGTTTTTCAGCCTTTGACGTCTTAGGCTGTACTCTGTCTGCGGTCTTCTTTGGCCTTCCCCAAGCTTCGTGACTTTGCATTTGCTGGGGTTAAATTTCAGGAGCCATTTGTTGGACCAGGCTTGCAGCCTGTCCAGATCCCCATGTAGGCTTACCTGATCTTCGTGCACTTGTATTCTCCTCATTAGCTTCACATTGCCTGCAAACAGGGACACCTCTGAACCTGTCCCTTGCATCATGTGATTCACATATACAAAAAAACAGCACTGGACGTTGGACTGACCCTTGTGGAATCCCACTCAACACATGCACCCACTGACTTAACGTTATGTACTGACACATTTCCTTCCTGTTAGGTATTCCCTGATTCGCTGCAGTACTTTCCCTGCTATTCGTGCCTGCTCCTCTAGCTCTTTAACCAGTCTCTTGTGTGCTACTGTGTTAAAAGCCTTCTTACAGTCCAAGAAGATAGTCTATCCACCCCTCTCTCCCCTGTCTTACTTCTGTCACCTTGTTGTAGAACTCCAGTAGGTTTGTGATGCAGGATTTCCCTTCCCTGAATCCGTGCTGATTGTCATGTATGAGTGCATTCCTTTCTACATGCTCCACCACTTTTCTCCTGATGATGATCTCCATAACTACATACTGTACTATACTTGTCAGTGACACAGTCTGTAGTTAAGTGCTGCCTGTCTGTCCTGTTTCTTAAAAATCAGGACTACATTTGCTGTCTTCCACACCTCAGGAAGTGTATCTGCTACCTCTCTCAGAACTCAGAGATATTATATGGGTTCACTGCCTTTGAGGTATTTAGCTCTCATAGCAGTTTCTTCACCTCCTCGTTCGTTGCGTGCAGTGTGTCCAGTACTTGATAGTGTACCCTACCACTACAGGTTGCTGGAAGTCTCTCTCTCTCTCTCCTGTGAATACCTCCCTAAATTGTGAGAGCTGAGCTCCTCGCATACTTCTCGGTTGTTCCCTGTGAGCTCTCTTCCTTCCTTCCTCGGCCTGATTATCTGGTCCTTTACTGTTCTTTTCTTCCTGATTTTTTTTTATTATCACACTGGCTGATTCCCACCAAGGCAGGGTGGCCCAAAAAAGAAAAACTTTCACCATCATTCACTCCATCACTGTCTTGCCAGAAGGGTGCTTTACACTACAGTTTTTAAACTGCAACATTAACACCTCTCCTTCAGAGTGCAGGCACTGTACTTCCCATCTCCAGGACTCAAGTCCTGCCTGCCGGTTTCCCTGAACCCCTTCATAAATGTTACTTTGCTCACACTCCAACAGCACGTCAAGTATTAAAAACCATTTGTCTCCATTCACTCCTATCAAACACACTCACACATGCCTGCTGGAAGTCCAAGCCCCTCGCACACAAAACCTCCTTTACCCCCTCCCTCCAACCTTTCCTAGGCCGACCCCTACCCCACCTTCCTTCCACTACAGACTGATACACTCTTGAAGTCACTCTGTTTCGCTCCATTCTCTCTACATGTCCGAACCACCACAACAACCCTTCCTCAGCCCTCTGGACAACAGTTTTGGTAATCCTGCACCTCCTCCTAACTTCCAAACTACGAATTCTCTGCATTATATTCACACCACACATTGCCCTCAGACATGACATCTAAACTGCCTCCAGCCTTCTCCTCGTTGCAACATTCATCACCCATGCTTCACACCCATATAATAGCGTTGGTAAAACTAGACTCTCATACATTCCACTCTTTGCCTCCAAGGACAAAGTTCTTTGTCTCCACAGACTCCTAAGTGCACCACTCACCCTTTTCCCCTCATCAATTCTATGATTCACCTCATCTTTCATAGACCCATCCGCTGACACGTCCACTCCCAGATATCTGAATACATTCACCTCCTCCATACTCTCTCCCTCCAATCTGATATCCAATCTTTCATCACCTAATCTTTTTGTTATCCTCATAACCTTACTCTTTCCTGTATTCACATCTTCCTGATGTGGCTGTATAACATCTTTGGGTCAGATTTGGGTTTTGATTATATGTTGTTCTCCTTTTGACACTTGGCTTCTCTCCTAATCCATGCATATTCAGTTCTGGCTCTTCAGCTCAGCTCCCTGTTTTCCTGAGTCCTTTGCTGTCTATACTTTTCCCATGCTCTAGCATATGTGGTTTTGGACTCTCCACACCTTTGGGTAAACCATGGGCTCACTCTGGTCTTCCCACTGTTTTTGTTGCTCCTTGGCATGAACTTTTTCTCTGCCTCCCTGTGTGTGTGGGGGGGGGGGGGAGTTAGTTATTTGTGTGTGTATGGGTGAGATGAATACACACATACACTGTATATTTATGTATCTGCAGTATGATTGCAAATTATGCAAAGATCCCATGAGAAAGATAATAAAAATGAACTACAGTCTTACAAGAGTATGTACTTGAATAAATTCAATAAATGGAGTTATTGATGTATTATGGAATATAATGCAGATAAGTATACATTACTAAAGTTAAAAAGAGACTTTTTTCTCTTTGGGCCACCCTACTTCAGTGGGATACGGCTGGTTAGTTGAAAAAACTAGTTCTACATAATGAAAATGGGAGAAAGAAATAACAGGCCAGATGGAAACTAGGGCTTGTGTGGTAAAATATTAAAAGTACCTGTTGGAGTGCAATTTAGAAGTCATCATGAGCAAAACATTGCCACCAGTAGATCATATAAATGAAATCATGAGAAACTCTTATATTGCACTAGCAAAGTTTAAAATAGTGTTTAGGTGTGTAGTTTTCCGATGTATATGCGTACATTGAGTATTCAAGGTACAGATGACCATTTGGTAAGTGATGAATAACTTTTGCACTGTATTTATACTAGGTAAATTTATTGTTCTCCATGGGGGAAGTGGAACAGAATTTTTCCTCTGTATGCCATGCATGTCGTAAGAGGCAATTAAAATGCTGGGAGCAAGGGGCTAGTAACCCTTTCTCCTATATAAATTACTAAATTTAAAAAGAAAAACTTCAGTTTTTTCTTTCTGGGTTACCCTGCCTCAGTGAGATGCGGCTAGTTTGTTGAAAAAAAAAATATTGTTGAATATTTTCTTTTTGGAACTGTCTGCTCTTGTATATTTAATATACTGAAACCCTGTTGAATGCTGCCACTGTAATATTCTCAGAGCCTGGAAACCCACCCCAAGAGTGCAGCATGCTATATGTACAGTATTATATTTATTAATTTTTCAGGTTAACAAATACAAGTTTTTTCTTACTTTTCATATGTTAAATACAATATTTTATTGTAAATGTAATGTACTGTACTGTAGTTAGGAAAGCATTTTTTTACCTCGTTGACAGTCTCCCACCAAGGCAGGGTAACACAAAACAGGAAACTTATTTATTGGATTTACTATATGTATTTATTTATGTTGTACTATACTCTTCAGGAGTGCATGCAGACGACAGGCAGCCTTAACGCTTTCACTGTTATGACCCCCAAAATTATGAGTGCTGGCAATTTTGTAATTTAAAAAAAATCTTGAATGGTAGAGAATCTTTTTCTAAAGGTAGTGAGACAAAAAATACAAAATTTTAGGGAAGACTTATGGTATTGTATAGGCACAAAGTTGGTAGTCTGGGTGCAATTTACACATCAGCGGTTTTAACTACTTTGAATCGTACTGTAAGCCAATGCTCAATTCGACCAAATTCCTAGCTATTTCGGTAGTATGTCTTCTGTTTTATTGAGCACAAAAAACTGCCCATTCAGATACCAGAATTAACCTAAAAATGCACAGGTCAGTAATTTGGCCAGTTTATACACAAATCAACAAATTCCAGTTAAAAAACACTCCAAAATAAGCACGTAATGCATTCCATCTACTAAAGTAACCTATCCTCTGTTCATTAATCACATCCCCAGGCCTCTCCTATATAATGCTTGCCATCCATTTTGAATTCATCAGACAAAAAATCAAAGTTTTACCCTATTTCTTGGATAATGAAACATAACAAAGAATGATTGATTGATTGTGGTTTAAGACGTCCCAATAATTAAAGCAGACCTTGTAAAAACCCATAAAGCAGACTAGGGCCTTACCCTTCCTCAGGAAAAATCACCAAAAATTAAATTTCTTTTATTTTGAGACATACACTAGTATGTCATCCATTATACTAGATGATACAAAAATGTAAGCTCAGAAGTGTGCTTTTTCCATCATGCATTACATGGGGCAGGATTTTTTTTTATACTGCTGTTTAGTCTAAATATTTCTGAGGCTTCTGCATACAGCTAAATTACAATTGCTATAAAAACAAAAGTATGCAAGAAACAAATATACTTGCATGGAAATGTATGGAACATTTTGGAAATAGAGGAGGCATTGTGCTACAGAACCAGATAAGAATTTTTTTTTTAAGGTACCTGTACTATTCCTTTAAACTTAGAAATTTTTTCTTGGCTATTCAGGATTTCTGTTTGTTAGTTATTAATGAAAACTTGTCATTGTGTATTTTCTGATTAATTGTCACTTGTATACAAATTCTTAACACTTTAAATGTATGTCCTTTTAATGTGGATTTACTATGGAGAATCAAAAGATTCTCACACAGGTACAAGTTTTGTTGTACATCATTGATGTATCCAGTGTTTGAAGATTGTTTGGACCAGCCTAGTAACCTCCAGAGAAAGATAAGTCACTACAGACAGTGGATAATCTCGTGTGTGCCGTTGGAAAATTAGTTTGACTTGTATTTTTCCTTTTTTGGCAACAGTGGCATTTTCACTTGTTAGCTTATTAGATGCTTCTATGTTTTGCATACACTGTTATAAATAAGAATGGATGGTGTAAATTTGACGACTAAAGTATTTGGTGTTGCACAAAATTTATACTGTAGGGTCAAATAAAGCACAGAATGCCATTGATGTAATCAATTTTTTGTAGGTATCTGCCATTTCTTGCTGTCTTCACATTAATTTTTGTGCACCAGCGTAAATACGTTTAGAAATACAGTACTGTATATATATTTTTAATGAAGAAATTTGCTCCCACTCTTCCAGACATTGACAACAGAATTCCGTCAACATGATCGGGAGCAGAATGGAACTGCCACGTTTTCTTATGAACAGTTTATGTTGATCATGGCAAAAGTCTTATAAGGTTGAGAATTTCAGTGGTGTTAAGATGGCTTCTGTTACATGTATGTTAAGCACAGTTTTGAGCATGTTTAGTATAACTCGCTCTTAAAATTAAGAGGGTGACATTAGTAAAGCACAGCCAAATAAATAAGTGTTCCATGTTGATGAGCACTATGCTTGCAATAAGCTCTGTAAAAACCAATATTGTATACAGTACTTAGGATTGAGGTCATGCCAGTTTCTAAAAACATCAGAGACCTGGTCAGTATGCCTATTGATTAATACACATATAACCCACACAGGGGAGAAAGAAACTTGTGACAACACTTCGATCCAACTTGGACCATTAACTAGTCCAAGTCAGACCGAAACATTGTCATAAGTTTCTTTCTCCTATGTGTGGGTTATTTGTGTATTGTTCCTGTCACGTGTTGTGCCTTTTTGTTTTTGTCTGTTGATTAGTAATGATGAACCGGCTCCACTGATTTTGACTCTTAAATATTTCCTTTTTTCTTCTCTGTTAAACTACATATTTTTCAGATCACCCTACCAAGGCAGGGTGATCTGAAAAAGAACACTATCATTCGTTCGAGCACTGTCTCCTCGGAAGCATGCTGACACCACAACTTGGACGATCCTCTGAGCTGCAACATCTCCAACCCTCCTTCAGAGTGTAGGCACTGTATTTCTCACCTCTAGGACTCTAGTCTGGCTAGCTGGTTTTTCACTAAATCCCTTGCTCTCACTCCAGCACCATGTAAAATCCTAAAAAAAACATGCCTACACTGTTATCAAATATGCTCACACAAGCCTGTTGTAAGTCCAAGTCTCTAGCACTCAAAACCCCTTAATTCCCCTCCATCCAACCCTTTCTGGGATGACTTGTACACCACCTTCCCTCCACCCCAGATTAATATGCCTTCCTAGTCATCCTCTGTTGCTCCATTCACTTTGAAAACAGCGCCGTCCACCCTCTGAATAATACTTTTGGTAATTTGACACCTAATCTCCAAGTTCAGAATTCTCTGCATAATCACACCACACATTTCCCTCAAACATGACATCTCTACTGCCTCTAGCCTTCTCTTTAATGCAGCACCATTTAAAACCCAAACTTCAATCCCATATAACAGTGTTGGTACCACTGTACTCTGGTATAGTTTCCTTTTGCCTCCCTGATGCTTCAGTGCACCACCCACCCATTTTTTTCCCCTCATTAATTCTTTGGTTCACCTCATTGTTCATAGTCCCATCAGTCAACAGTATATACAGTTCTGTATGTATAAAAGTATCATCCCTTTTATGATTTAATGCTTACCTTGATTATTATAATATTGTATTTTGTGACTTATTAGACGCATGTTTTTTCCATAAAATGTCTCCAAAATCCACCCTGTGTCCTATAAACTGAAGGTCAGTGATGAGAGCAGTAAGTTTGGGGAGGAATGAGCAAGGTAACTTTTATGAAGGGATTCAGGGAGATTGATTACCAAGACTTGAATCTGGGATGTAGGAAGTACAGTGTCTGCATTCTAAAGGAGGGGTAGGGATTTTGCAGTATATGGGTCATTTGAAATGTGATGTCAAGTGTATTTCTGGTAAGGCAGTGATAGAATGGATGATGGTGAATGTGTATTCTTCTTGGAGTCACCCTATTTCAGTGGGACATGAATGTTGAGGCCAAAAAGAAAATTCCATGTTTCAGAATAAATATAATTGCATTGGAAAAAATAGAAATGACAAAATTAACCCCAGGTATCAGAGACCTCTCCTACAAAGACAGGCTGAATGCACAAAATTTGCATTCTTCTAGAAAAGCATAGCATTAGGGGGGTATATGAGAATATGATTTAAGAATGCAAAAAGAAATCATAATACATAAAGGGCATATAGATGAAGTACTGAAGATCTGATCAAGATGTGATTTACACCAATGAATTCAGCCTGTATAAATTTAGATTTAAAAAGAGTTTAGGTTAAAAACATTGGTTTGGCAGTAGAGCTGTAGATGATTAGAACAAACTGCCAAGTTGCACCCTGAAGTAAACAAAGTACTTTGGATAGCTTTAAAAATTGGTTGGACAAGTACACAAGTGAAACTTTTTTCTGAAGGTATTCACGCCAAAAATACAATATTTGATGGAAAACGTATGGAATTATGCAGACACTAATTTGACGGTCTAGGCACAATTTACACATCAGTAATTTTGGCCAATTTGAGTCCTAATTCAAGTCAATTCCAGTGTTCAATTCGACCAAATTCTTAGCTATTTTGCTAGCATGTCTTCTTTTCTATTGAAAGATCACAAGAACTGTCCATTCAACTATTAGAACTATCATATAAAGTGCAAATAAGTCGGTAAATTAGCCAGTTTTACACAAAATAAACACTATACATTCCATCAACTAGCACAACCTATCCTCTGTTAATCACATCCCCAGGCCTCTCCTGTATTACGCTTGCCCTCCATTCTGACTCCGTCATCACACACAAAAAGATCAGTTTTACCCTGTTTCTTGAATAATAAAAAAGAAACAGGAATGACTGTTCATGGTTTAAGGTATCCCAATAATTGAAGCAGAACCAGTAGGGGGGTGTAGGTCAAGCCTTACCCTTCCTCAGGAAAATCATCAAAAATCAAATATTTCCATTACTTAGCTCTATTTCAAGTACCTGTACTTCCAGTCCTGAAACCGACCAGAATCATCTTTTTCAGTAATGTCTTCCATTCTGTCAGTTGATACCAAGAAACAGCCAATAAAAGCATAAAATTTCTCATAGAAAACACCTTCAAGTCACATGCACCACATGGAACAGGATTTTTTTTTTTTCATACTTTGTGCACGCACGCACACATACACACATCCGCACATGCACGCACACGTGCGCACACACACACAACGACTATGAAAACGACAACGACATAGCAGCGAAAGCCAAATCTGACCCGAAGCTGTTATACAGCCACATCAGGAGGAAAACAACAGTCAAGGACCAGGTAATCAGGCTAAGGAAGGAAGGAGGAGAAACAACAAGAAATGACTGTGAAGTATGTGAGGAACTCAACAAGAGATTCAAAGAAGTGTTCACAGGGGTGACAGAAGGGGCTCCAGAAAGACGGAGAGGTGGGGTACACCACCAAGTGCTGGCCACGGTACACACAACCGAGGAAGAAGTGAAGAGGCTTCTGAGTGAGCTAGATACCTCAAAGGCAATGGGGCCGGATAACATCTCTCCATGGTTCCTGAGAAAGGGAGCAGAGGCGCTATGTGTACCCCTAACAACAATATTCAATACATCTATCGAAACAGGGAGATTGCCTGAGGCATGGAAGACAGCAAATGTAGTCCTAATCTTTAAAAAAGGAGATAGACTTAAAGCACTAAACTACAGACCAGTGTCACTGACATGTATAGTATGCAAAGTCATGGAGAAGATTATCAGGAGAAGAGTGGTGGAACACCTAGAAAGGAATGATCTCATTAACAGCAGCCAACATGGTTTCAGGGGCGGGAAATCCTGTGTCGCAAACCTACTGGAGTTCTATGACATGGTGACAGCAGTAAGACAAGAAAGGGAGGGGTGGGTGGATTGAATTTTCTTGGACTGCAAGAAGGTGTTTGACACAGTTCCACCCAAGAGATTAGTGCAAAAACTGGAGGACCAAGCAGGGATAACAGGGAAGGCACTACAGTGGATCAGGGAATACTTGTCAGGAAGACAGCGGCGAGTCATGGTACGTCAGAGTGGGCACCTGTGACCAGCGGGGTCCCACAGGGCAGTCCTAGGACCAGTGCTGTTTCTGGTATTTGTGAACGACATGATGGAAGGAATAGACTCCGAAGTGTCCCTGTTTGCAGATGACGTGAAGTTGATGAGAATTCATTCGATCGAAGACCAGGCAGAACTACAAAGGGATCTGAACAGGCTGCAGACCTGGTCCAGCAATTAGCTTCTGGAATTCAACCCCACCAAGTGCAAAGTCATGAAGATTGGGGAAGGGCAAAGAAGACCGCAGACAGAATACAGTCTAGGGGGCCAGAGACTACAAACCTCACTCAAGGAAAAAGATCTTGGGGTTAGTATGACACCAGGCACATCTCCTGAAGTGCACATCAACCAAATAACTGCTGCAGCATATGGGTGCCTAGCAAACCTCAGAACAGCATTCCGACATCTTAATAAGGAATCGTTCAGGACCCTGTACACCGTGTACGTTAGGCCCATATTGGAGTATGCGGCACCAGTCTGGAACCCACACCTAGCCAAGCACATAAAGAAACTAGAGAGAGTGCAAAGGTTTGCAACAAGACTAGTCCCAGAGCTAAGAGGTATGTCCTACGAGGAGAGGTTAAGGGAAACCAACCTGATGACACTGGAGGACAGGAGAGAGAGGGGGGACATGATAACAACATACAAAATACTGAGAGGAATTGACAAGGTAGACAAAGACAGGATGTTCCAGAGATGGGACACAGCAATAAGGGGACACAGTTGGAAGTTGAAGACACAGATGAATCACAGGGATGTATGAAGTATTTCTTCAGCCACAGAGTAGTCAGGAAGTGATGTAGTGGAGGCAGGATCCATACATAGCTTTAGGCAGAGGTATGGTAAAGCTCACAGTTCAGGGAGAGTGACCTAGTAGCGACCAGTGAAGAGGCGGGGGCAGGAGCTTGGACTCGACCCCTGCAACCTCAACTAGGCAAGTACATCTAGGTGAATACGTACACACACACACACACACACACACACACACACACACACACACACACACACACACACACACACACACACACACACACACACACACCGTGGAATAGCCTAGAAAGTGAAGTAGTGGAGGCGGGAACCATACATAGTTTTAAGGCGAGGTATGATAAAGCTCATGGAGCAGGGAGAGAGAGGACCTAGTAGCAATCAGTGAAGAGGCGGGGCCAGGAGCTATGAATCGACCCCTGCAACCACAAATAGGTGAGTACACACACACACACACACACACACACACACACACTTACACACAATCTTCAACACATCCCTGGAAACTGGGCAACTACCTGA